CCGCTGCAGGGAAGTGGGGAACTAGGATAGACATGAGAGAGAGTGCATCCCAGGTGCTAGTTAAAAACCCTTCATAAAGTGAAGCTGTAAAGATTAGGAGCAATACAGGCTCATGTACTTTCTTATTCACGGCTGTGAGCATTTCATCTGCTTCTGACACTGTTTCATCTTTACTGTGCCAAATGTTATTGAATTTGGAACTTGAAGCTAAACATCTGTCAGTAAAAATTGATTAACACCCCCCTCCTGCTTTTATTTAAAAAAAAAATCCTTCTATAGGATGCTATATACTGTGTGGGTTTTTTTTTATCTCTTTCCCCCTCCCCTTTCCCCAGCACTGTGCCTGCCGTATCAGCAGCATCTGCATCAGAAGATGTAAAAGGATCGCCTTGGCAGACTAAATCATGTTTCCTCTGAAATCCTTTAAAAGAAGGTTTAATGTGTACAATCATGTACATCTCTCAGTCAGTTTCTGTGCAATTTGCAGAGGTAGCGCGGCTTGTGCTGTGCTGTCTGTTAGATTTCTTTGGTGCAACGGTGGATGTGTTTAGTATGGGAGTTGCTATGAAAAAGTCAGAGTATTTTATCTCTAACTGCTGCATCACTGTATCTGAGCTTCCATGGCCTGTTCTAAGAAGAGAAGAAACTGTCTGAAGTCACTGAATCTCAGGCAATTGAGTTAAATGAATGGTTTTGCATTAGTAAATTTGTATCAAGCCTATAAAGCACTGACTGCAACAGGAGCTAGAGGGAGCTGAGCACCAAGAAGTGTTAAGCCCGTTGCAGGACTGCAGTATACTGACAGACGTATGCTCATGAATAGATAATTGTGTATTGTGTTAGTATTATAGGTCCTGCACGATGCCGTTTGAAAGACCACAGGAATGATTTAGGGCCACATTGGAGCTTTTAGGCACTGGTTTATGCTCATAGCCGCAGGGGCATCTTAGCACCGCTGAGGAAGGTCTGGAAGGGATGGTTGAAGGCCTAATCTCTCCTGAGCAATAGAGGAAGAATATACATTGCATTATTTCTTAGATCACAATGATATTCTTTTCCCTCTGTAACCAGGCAATCTCTCTACCTCCCCCTTGGGTGACTTACGCATAGAAGGATTGGGGTTGTGTTTGTACTCTCCCACTTCCCCTAGATAACTTAGGTAAAGCTAAGGTACAGTTTAGTACTAAAGAAGATACAATTCCAAGTCAAAGTAGCAAACATGGCAAGCTTAGCATAATATGGTTCCACCATGCTCTATTCTCAGGTGCAATAAAGGTCATTCTATATCTGCAAGGAGCCTAAGGAATAATCAAAACTACAGCAGTTTGCAGGGGTGCTACAGGGTTGAATGGCGCACAGAAATCAGTGGTGCCATTGAGGTATCAGCTCGTTGTTCTTAAACTGGTATTGGTTATTTACTGGGAAGGTTCATTGATCAAAAAGCAGGAGGAGCCATCAATGGTGCTAATTTTTTGTCAATAAGAGCCAGCTTTTTATTCTAAATGATGTCCAAAGGAAGCCAAGGGTTCAGCTTTTTAATAGAGTTGCCCTGTTTGCCTTGCTGGAGAGCAAGGAAAGAACAAAGTTTTGGATGTTAACCAAAAAATGTTAATCTTGCGTTAGGGTGAGCGACCGGTCAACGCTGTTCTTTGCACATCAGTGAACACGCAGGCTCCGCAGTAAATTTTGCATAATTCTTTGCTCTCACTAATGAAAACCTTTCAATCATCTTCCATTTCTGATGCAAGTGGTAGGTCCATTAGGCTGCTCTGCAAGCTACTATATGTCATGGGGTAGCATATTCAAGAGAACACAGATTTATTCCCATGCAGCAACCAAAAGAATTAAAAATGCAAGCAGCTGAGCTCTACTTTCGAAACAAAGTGAAGAGGAATTAAAGAAGAGGTGGAAAGAGGAAGAGTGAACAGAAGTCAGGAAAGACAGATGTGTTGAATGGCAAACACATTTGTCCAAAGGAATCATTTCCACTGGCCAGCAGCCCAATTAAACCCATAAAATAGAAGTCCAGGAAATCAGATTAACGAGCCAGTCATTAGCAAAAGGAGGAGGGAAAAGACAAACCCAGCTAATTCTGTGTTGAGCATGACTGATGAGTGCAGAGCAAATAATTGGGTGACATCCATCAAACATGAAATAAAAGGAGGCGTTGGAAGGAAAATGCTGTAATAATCTCTGGGATTTACAATGCTGGCAAGTTTGCTTCTATGAAAAGGAAAAGTTCATCAAAATAAATTAAACTGGGTCTTGCAAAATTCATTCCCTTTCAACGAGCTTGCCAGAAATGCATGGACACTACTGAAGGCTTGATCGTTTTGGGGGCACTGTTGTTAGCATCGGTTTAAATCATGCCAAGATCGGATCCTGACTAAGATTAGCATCCCATTAGCCCCAGGGGACAAGGACTAGGAGCAATGACCTCAAGTTGCAGCAGGGGAAACTGAGGTTGGAGATTAGGAGGAACTTTCTGATTCTGAGGGTGGCCAAGTGTTGGAACAGGTTACCTAGAGAAACTGTGGATTCTCCATCCCTGGGTGTGTTCAAGAGCTGGTTGGACAGACACTTGGCTGGGATGGTTTAGTCAGGTCTGATCCTGCCTTGAGCAGGGGGCTGGGCTAGATGGCCTTGTGAGGTCCCTTCCAGCCCTACTTTCTGATCATCCTAAGTCTTTGTCATGGTGACAAGCCTGATATAAGACTTGCAAATACTTCCCCTGGTAGTTCAAGCCCACATTCGTGCTTGGTTACCAGTGACCATAGGAGACATGGTATGTCTATGGTCTATGCTTTCCCCCTGGGTGACATTACCCCGAGAATTTCTGATTGTTCCTAAGTATTTTTTAATCCTCACAGCTTCCCTGTGGGGAACGTTAAGTAATCTTACCCCCATGCCAAAGAGAGGTGAAGTGCTTGCTCAAGGTTGACAAGTCAATGAGAAGATCTGGCGACTGAACCCATGAGTTTTGGTAAGTCATCCCTCTGTTACTGGACGCGTCCTTCCCTTGCTTCCTTTGGGCTCCAAAAAGAGCAGTGGGAGCTGGGATCTTGGGTCTGACCCACAACTGGGACGAACTGGTTTAGTGAAGGGATTCTGATTTGTACTAATTGAAGATCCAGCCATCAGGATGGAGCGCAGCAAGGTAGAAAGGAAGGGAAGGGACATGTCTTACATGGATTAAGCAGCTATTTAAGGGCTGCCTCGATTGGCTCTGTAGAGCCGAAACAGCTCGATCATACACTTACTACATAAACTGAGATTTAAGTGGCCGCTGGCCCTATTTTCTCCAGCATAAACCTCATGTAGCGAGCTGATGGGAGCACAACAGAGGTGCCTTAGGAAATAACTCTCATGGCCCTTCCATCATCCTCCCATCAGGAGGCTCGAATCTGAGGCGGGGGACTTCCCATGTTGTGAATTTGTTGGGCACAGAGTGGGATTGAAAATAAACCCATGTTACCATCCTGGCTCCTTCACTGTCCTTGTGTGACCGGGGACAAGTAGTTTCATGCGTCTGTACCTGCATTTCCTTTTTGTCCTCCATCTTGTCTTTAAGGACTTTAAGCTGTTTGGTGCAGGGACTCTTTCTTACTATGTCTTTGCTCAGTGCTTTGCATAATATTTGTTCTTTTATTTCTACTTGGGTCTCTAGGTGGTAATCACCTTTTAATAACAATAGCAAAACAATTAAAGGGGAGGGGGAATTCTACTTACAATTCATGCTCTATTTCGACACTTATCCCCTACCCCCCTTTTCAAGCTGTTGGTAGAAAAGCCTCATCCTGCATTGATCAGATATCAAATTCACGTGCATCATGACCAGGAATATGGTGTCCTTTGAATGACAGCTTCTCTAGAGAAGCACGCCACAATCTATAGATAATATCATTGCTGAGAGTATAATTGATGCTGCAGCAGTCGACTCTCTAAGCCCATTCTGAAATATCATTGAAAGATTTAACAAAAAAAAAAATTATCTGTGAAGGAATCAAAGTCCTTTCTGTTTGCTTTATTGGAAACTTAAGAAGGCAGTAAATGACATTCCATATAATAAAGAAGTGTTTTGTGTATTGTATTATCTCCAAACCTGTGAACTTGCCAAAGAGGCAGAGAATGGAAAAGGCACAGATCTGAGACTTGTTATAGTCAGCCTTGAAACAGTGCCCAGAAGAACCCTCTCTGAAAGACTTGAGAAACAGCCGTGGATTTAAAATTTAATATCTCACAAATGATCGGGGCCAGGAATGAATGTCACATACCATTTGAAAGTAGGGGATCTTGGCTTCCTACCCACGCAGGGCACTTGCACATAGCCTTGACAGGTAGTGAGTATACAGTCCATATCATCACATCATTCCCATTACTATCAGTTCCCTTCCACCACACTATTTCAAAGTCAATGTGATTTTCAGGGAACCAATACTTTAGCGATGCAAGCTATCCTAGAGGTCAGGTCATAGGATTCAGGTGGCAGAAGCTATACCTTGTGTGAAAAATGTGTACGACACTGCACTATATTGACTTCTTCTGCTAGTCATCCTGTATAGATTCATGGTTGGCCCAAAGGGTTTACAGCGTAAATAGACAAGAGACACAAAGTGGGGGGAAAAGATACTATCATCTTCTATTTACAGAAAGAGAATTGAGGCACGGGGACATAAATCTATTGTCTATCTGTCTCAGACAACGTTCTTCATCCTAGTCCAGTGCCTTAATCCTGAACCAGTTTAATTCTCTTTTGTCTGATATGAGTTGTTAAAATCAGGGGAGACATTGGATTCTGCTATAACTTGATGCATGTAACAATACATCAGATCTTCCAGGTCTGGAAGTGAACTGATGGGACCATACAAATGCTTACAGGGCTGGTAGACTTCTCTGAGCCTCAGTCCTTTGACCAGTGATGTAAAAAGCAATGGTTTCAAACCTGTGGAGTGGGGTGCACTCCAAGGAGGTTTCACTCTTTCTCTTTTGCATTCCTACAGGTGACTGCTGGTGGAAGAGCTAATTACTACGTATCGTACAAGCGGGAGCCGTTTGCTCAGATTAAATTGCCCAAATATTCGTTACCAAAGGTAAATGCTGCTCTTATCAGCACAGCCCTGAGATGCGCAGCCTCTAACGCAGCATGGGTTGCTCCGTGGGATAGAGTTACAGTGGAGCATCTCTCTACTGCCGTTCCTTTGCTAGGGTAACCCAAAAGCATGTGCGCCCCTTCCTTGGAATAGATTCCTTGTTTCTCTGTGATGCTTATGAAGGCAGGAAAGAATTAATGGAAGAAACTTTACCCTTCCACACGCAAGTAATATTGCAGCTGGTTGGAGTGCCAGTTATGGCCAGGAATAACCCACCTGGCTTGCACCTTGCCTGTTTTAAGCATATGTATCTGCAGGGGTCAAAGTGGTGGGAATCCCATGCTTGGTCTGGAGAGGACAATAGCTGACCGCTGTTATTCAGAAAACCCTCAGGCATTTCTCACCTGTGAGTAGCACCGGGCAATGAATCATGGGAGTGTACCTGACTCCCTCAGAGCCTCCCACTCCTCCTCTGCTCCATCCTCAGCAGAAGTGGTGGCATAAAATAATCTGAATGCTCAGACACATAAATCCATTGCACGACTGACTGGTGATGAGTAGGAGCTGTATTGTCTGTCAAAAGGGAGCTGTATGGCCTGAGCTATCTGCAAGCTGACCTTTCTCTCATCTCTGTTGCTGGTTATCTTACAAGCTCTTCATTCCTTTGAGTTTGGACAAAAATCTTTACTGCAGCACTTGGCGGGACAGTCCAGCAGGTTGGGAGATTTTTGCAAGATTTTTGCTTGCTTTATCCTTAAGCTGAAGAAACACCTGCCTGTCTTTAGCAATGATGAAGGATTTGCACTTTGGTCTCCACATATCACAGCTGAGTTAAACCACCCTGAAATTCATGTCTGATCCAACTACATTGTGATACCTGTGAATGCCACCGAGATGCAAGCATTCCCTTGGCATTTCTTCACTGGATAGGGACATAGCTGTTGTATAAACTCTCACCCCATTAAAACTTCTTCATCCATTTATTCTGCAGAAGTGCTGTCTCAACAGCTGCTTTATAGATTGGCACCAGAAGATGCCCTTTTTTTAATATGACAGGTGATATGAAAGAATAACTGCATGGCTATCGATCGGCTTCATTGGTTGAAGTTACGGTGGATTGTTGGCCTCTGTGTAAGGGCAGGGTTGGCTGGCTGGGTCCTGGACTGTTATGTTGCATAAAGCTGGGGCTGCTGTACTCATTTAAAAATGGAAACTGGTTTTAAGCAAGTTGTCATAGTGAAATCTCATTAGCCATGTAAAGCATCCTGTTTCAAGCTAACCTCAGTCGCCAGTACACTCAGCCTTTGCAATAGTAACTGTTCTGTCAACTGTAGATTAATGAACCCTACCAGAGATGGATGCATGTTATACCCATGTGAGGGCTAATTCAGCATCTCCACTACAGCTGGTCAAATAGACTGAGATGCTGGGGTGATTATTCCTACAACTTTTAGTCCTTAGTCTTCAAGGAATTAAAGAAGTTAGGTAAGAACCCAGCTCAGATCATGTTCCTACTGAGGTGAATGGCAAATCTTCATTGCCTTCAGCAGAGCAGGTTTAGATCCGACAAGATCAGAGGCTGATTAAGTTTCTTTCCTCGCGTCACTCTGACAGGGTGAATTAGGCCTGAATTAGGCAACAGCCCCATGCAGTCCACCCAAATGACACACGTAGCATAGCCCAGAAGACTGTTGCATTCTGGTCTGGTTGAGGTTTCTCCAAGGTATTCTCTCCGAGCTCAACTTGATGATGAACAAGCTGAGATTTTAACTCACCCCAGACTCTGATAACTATCACGGTAGTCTGTCCCTCCTTTCTGGACATCCTTTAAAGACAACGTGTCTATCAACAAAGGAAAAGTCAGTGCATGAGGTAGTTCAGAAACAGTGCAGAAGGAGAACAAGGAATTAATCAAGGCTCCTTGGGGTCTCTGGGAATTAGCTTTCTGAAGATTTAACATAGACACTTTAGGGCCTTCTTAATCAACACTCAGTCACCGCTGACTGGCGTTGAGTGGCTCAGCAAGGATGGCAAGGGTTAAATCGACGTATAACTTTATCGGCCAGCTCTGGGGATTTGGAAATGAGTCCCCTCCAAGAGAATATTAAGAAGTAGTGGTGGTATCTGCAGAACTTCTTGGTAGTCATATAAGAGAAGGAGGTTCAGGTTGAGCCATGAAGCCTTTCACATCCTGGACACCCGTTGTAACCTAGCTGTGGCTGATGGGTGGCCTTTGGAGGCCCATGTAGAGTGAACGAGTGGAGTCCAAGCCAGCTCTCAATGGACGAGTGTCTCAGACTCTAAAAATAACATCTCTATTGGCACAGTGCCACCCTTCCTGGCAGCCTTGAGAGAGAGGCTCATTGTCGACTTGAGTCCATCCCTACCATCCCTAGTAGTGGTTTTCCCACTCCCGTTGGCTCACCAGTGCACATGCCACTCCACCGTTGCTTTTGCTGTACCTCCGCTAGTGAACAAAGAGAGGACTTCAGACTCCAGGGCTGTGAATCTTCCAGCAGTGATAAAACTGACTTGAAGATTATAAATAAAGTATGAAGCCAGATGAAACTCCTTGAAGCTACCAAAAATGTAGAAAACCCTTCACCCACCCTGTGGCCATTAAAAAAGGGAAAAAAAACCCAGAAAAGTCATGATGGAGGTAATTTATTGGCTTGGTGTAACAGAAAATTGTTTAACACCTCCTATAATTCATGCTCCTTCACAATTCTTCCATAAGTCACAATAATTACTATGTGTCCCAAAGGGCAAAGAAATATAGAGATCCACCGTAATAGGCCTTTTGTCTTACTTTAACAGGACATGCATATCATCAGCACAGATGAGAATCAGGTGTTTGCAGCCGTTCAAGAGTGGAACCAGAACGATACCTACAACCTTTACATCTCCGACATCCGGGGGGTCTACTTCACCTTGGCTTTGGAGAACGTGAAGAGCAGCCGAGGATTGGAAGGGAATATCATCATTGACCTTTATGAGGTATGTAGTCAAGGTCAGTCTGTGATACCTCCCCTTAAGAACAGCAACTGACCTCTATGGCAGAGAAGTGTAAACCTCTTAGTGTCCTGCCAGACCCTCGAATGATTTAGGGAACACCCCAAAACCGCATGCATATTATGCCCTCAAAAAGCCCTATTCCACACGCACCAAAATGGCGCTGGTCCCTGAATGGGGGAGGTCATCCTCTTAGGATCTCTGATTGGATGAGTGAATGATGATGACATGGACACAGTGCATGAAGGGATACATGTAGGCAAGGGTATTTTGGGAACAGGTTGCTTTCAGGTAGATGACAAGCCAGTCTGTTAAAATCTCCGCTCCCAATAATGACCCTGACCACAGATAGAGTCCGTGTCCTTTTGCATGCTGTTGTTTTGAGATGCTCCATCACCCTCCATATTCATTGGTGTCGGTGCAGAGTGGCCATAAAAGGCAAGTAGTTCAAAACAGTAACATCTGCCATGCACTTTGCTTTAGTTTAAGCAGCGACACAAGGGGAATATCTACAAAGAGTCAGAGCCTCCATACTGGGCAGTTGGTGGGAACCTCTAGAGAGAAAAAAAATCTTATCCTAAAGAAACATTTTTTATCCTTCTTGTGGGATCGCTGTATCTCTAGAGCAGGCCTGGGGTGGGCCATTCGTCTCATAAATACAAGAACATGTGACTCGCTCCACGTGACCTTGTCCAAACACCCAAGCTTGCCCATCTGATGCTCTACAAAGGCTGGTTTCCAAAACCTCTCTGAAGGCCCAGGTAGATTAAATCAGATCTTGCTGCCCTCAGAAAGCCTCAAAGAGCTTACCTGCATGAGGCTGTGGACAAAAATGAAAGCCATAGCCAGTGGTTGATGGACTGTAAGAGCAGGCTGAATTGGGGTCTGTGTTGAATGAAGGGATGTTGTGCATGTGAGTGAGTCTATGCTCAAGTTACCTCCACCCCTGGGTCTTCTCGTGTGACTCTTGGTCTCCATCACTGGAAAAAACCAGTTTTTCTGTTCTGTTTTGTTCTGCCCATTTTCTTTCACGTTGCTGTCTCCATGCATTTATTTTCTCATGCTGCTTTCGAGGCTGAGACCGGCCCTCTTGTTTCAATTTGCCAAGTCTTCACCTCTCATGCTTGCGTCTTTCCTAAAAACCCTGTTTCTTCTACGATGCCCATTTTATTCTTGACAATTATGTTAGAAAAACACCCAAACCCACAGGGTCTCAAAGGGCACAGGATCTTGTTTTCCTGCAGCCTAGAGCTGCACAAATAATTGATTTTTTGGTTCAGTGGCCAAGCCAAAAAAAATTAAAAACCTTCTTTGCGTCAATTTTTCTGACACACAAACTGGAACAAAAATGTTTGGGGTCAGATCCATATGTTACTTGAACTGAAATGAAACCTTTCATTTCTGACTGTCTTTTTACCCTTGTTAGAAATAAAATTTAGCTCAACTTCAAAAATGAAATGGGTTCTTGGGGGAAAAGAACCCCCCTCCCCCCAAATGTTTCATTTTGAAAACATCAGGAAGAAACATTTTGGCTTCCTTTTATTTCTTTTGAACATTATGGAGGCCAAATTATTCACCGCTTTCCACCTGGACTTTAAAATGGTTTTGGTCAACCCCAGTCTCTATTTTTGGGGGGCAAATAAGTTATTCTCACAGCCTGACTACAGAGGTGCTCACTGGGGCATTTTTTCCCCCGGATGCCATTCACAAAGTATGGATCATCTCCCCTTCTAGTCATATCTACATAACCCTGTGACAACAATAACAGTTGTTTCGGTGGTAAGGTGTCTTTGGAAAGGGCTCCCAGGTATTTTTATCTTACTTTACTGCAGTTACTGTGTAAGTGCTTTGAGGCGGCAACTGGTCCAGAAGTCCCAGTTTGGGAACTTAATGCCTTTACTTCTATTCTACTCTATTGTATTCTGTTCTATTCAGATTCTTCTTCCAAGCCCATCACCAGGGTCTGAGCATCTTCTGGTAATCTCAGCTGTCCCAACATCTGGATTTCTCAGTGCATTCTGGTTTCCATGGGCCCATCTTTCTTAGATGTGAACAGCTGCAGAGCAGAGACCATCTGTTCATCGCCTGTTCACCAGAGCACTCCAGGGGATGACAAGGTCCAACGGTCATAAACTCCTCCAAGACCATTTTAGGCTGGATGTAAGGAAAAACTTCTTTACTGTCCAAGCCCCCAAGGCCTGGAACAGACTCCCCCCAGAAGTGGTGCAAGCACCTACTCTGGACACTTTTAAGAAACATTTGGATGCTTATCTCACTGGGATCCTTTGACCCCAGCTGACTGCCTGCCCTTTGGGCAGGGGGCTGGACCTGATGATCTTACAAGGTCCCTTCCAGCCCTAATGTCTAGGAAATCTATGAAATCTTTTAATTTTTTGTTATTAATTCTGAGTGCTCTCTTGGCAATTAAACACAGGCATAATAGTAACTGCCTAAGAAGTAAGAAATCTCTGATAACTAAGTTTGCTGATGGATGGGGGAGCAAATACATGTGAACAGAAACAGAACCCGGGATTATCAATCTCACTCTCAACCTGATGCTGATTTAAGGGCACGATCAGGAAGTTTATCAAGATCATGAAAATTGTCAGTAATTGTAGGTGTCATGGCTATCGGCAATGTATATATTTGTTGCTTCCCGCTTGATTATGGATTTAAATAGAGATTTCAGGATTTGCAATCACAATTTTACAAGTGGAAACCAAGCTATGTGGCATGGTTTTTATTTCCACCTGTCTGGATTTGTATTTCCATGATGAGTCTGTGCCTTGAAACTGCATAGCCTGAGTCAGGATAGAATAGGGCAGATCTGGATCTGATCAGAAAAGGTCATTGTCAATCCGTGCTTGAAGGCAGTGCTCATCGTTCTTCCGGAGAGGCGTCTTAGACAGGTGGGTTACCTTGCACAGTGAGCTGGGCCCATAAATCTGCTCATCCTTGACCCTCTGGAGAAGCGGGTGGCATTTGTGCTCTGGGATGTTATTGTTCAAAGAAGGGTATTGGGTTACTTTGGTCATTTAAAGCAGGAAGAAAGTCCTGATAAACAGTGCATGAATCAAAATGAAGGACAATTACCAGATTTCTTTTCTTTCCTCTCCTTATCTATATTTGCCTGCTTCTGGAAGAAGACATTTTTCTGTTTTGTAATTAGGTAGCTAGTGCCTACGTCCAGCATTACCCATTTCTATGTGGAGTTGGGACTTGTCAGCTGTGTATTATAGACTCTGCAACAGTAGTACTCAATTCCTTGGGCCTGATGGGCTGGATGAGTGGCACAGGGCCAATCCGTGGGCCAGATCCGGGACATATCACTGGTTCGCAGGACCAATGCAGCATGCAGAACCATGTCATTTTTGCTTGAGGGATTAAAATGTTTTAAACAGGGATTGTTCCATAAATCTGCACAGTGAAGCTTGTGATTTTGGAACGGGAGGAGATGACTTCTCATGCAGCGACTGCCATAAAGTTATAGCAAGTAGATAGCAACTCACTTAATTGCTTCATGCCTCACTACTTTGGTTGTATAATATGGACCAAACTTACCTCCACAACTGCAAGGAGAAATTTTAGTAGAACCCCATCCCGTCAGTACGTGCCATTCTGCCAACATTGAAATACTCCTGAAAACCAGGTTGATTTTGATGGAATTTTGTTTTGGAAGAAAACCAAGGAAACAGAGTTTTTAAGAAAATGTCCAAATGTCCTGTTTCAACATTATCAGGGTGGCATTTTTCAATTTTTCATTGGAAACAACTTTTTAAAAAAAGTGGCTGAGATATTGATATTTCATCCAGATAAAACCCTTTGTGTGACCTGAAACAAACCAACAAAACATGTTCAGAGTTTTTCTCCATGGGGCATTTTGAATTGGGTGGGTTTTATTCTGATTCAGAATAAAATCAAGTTTCAAAGTCTGAAAATCCTTCATAAAAATAGAGCTCCACACAGTTCTGCTTGACAGGTTTGTGAAATGGATGGAAGAAGCACAAAGTATTATTGAATAGCAGGACCAGTGTCTGTTAAACTCTGCAGGCAGCAACTGGAAGAGAGTGCCATCTCTTTGCAGGGTCAGCTGGTGTAGTCTTTGGCACAAGTCCAGAGCAAGGCTCAAAATCATGCCTTTGGAGCCATGACCATTTTACCACCTCTTTACTACAGCAATAGATCTTACTTCTAACTGTCTAACCAGGATCATCATCCTGGACACCACGCAGTCAAGCTGCTCACAAACTATTTGTTGAAGCCCTGGTTCAGGAAACACCTAAGTGTGCATTTACCTTTGAGCCTTAGGCCTTCAGTAGGATTCAGGCACTTAAACGCATACTTGAGCCCTTTTTGAAGAAGGACACCTTCCTGAACTGAAGCCAGGCAGTGACAGCTCCATCAGTGCAAGAGAGGCCAAAAAAAGACTCTTAAATTACTGTGATCAAACACAGGGAAAAAAATCCACATTCTAAGTTCAACTTTTGGAAGAATTCCTGAGAGAGGAGATGAAGGGGACTCTTCACTGATTTTTAGGCCGTATTTTTGTATGGCATTTTGTTTTTATCCCCCCTGTAGATTTGCAAAACTGATTCCAATCTTTAGTGCCATAATTTTGGATGCCTCTCTCTCATGTTATAAAATTGCATTGGGATAATTTTCCTGTAAGAGGTATTGCTCTATTTCTGTGTTTCATAGAGAGGCATATTATAAAGCACTCAGTAATCAGACTGCAGTGTCAATTATGTTGCTGTGATGCATCAGGATTCCTGGTGCTTTAATGTTTGCAGAGATTTTTTTTGTAGATCAGCCTCTGACATGGTCCTCTTTTCAGCTTACAGGGCATGTCTACACATGAATTTACTGCACAGTAAATTGAGTGCTCAGTAAGTGGATTTAGACTGGCACCTACACGTGCAGGCATTAAAGCACAGTAATGCTGTGTGCCAACTGACTTGGGAGTAAAGTTAGTCCACACACACAATGTTACTGTGCAGTAACATGTCTACATGTGCATTACTGCACAGTAACTAATTGGGCCCAAGTCAGCATAAGTCACCATAGTTCTTGAGAGCTAAACTACCAGACACAATATAGCTCTCCAGAATCCTCTCTGCATTCAAAATGCTTGCAAAATGCTTGTGGTTGCATCAGGGTTGATTGTGTAGTTTGGCTTATAGGTTAGCCAGTGGATTAGTGTAGGTTGGTTTGGATCCTACCTCCGGTAGGAGGTCAGACTCGATGACATTTGAAGGTCCTTTCCAATCCTACTTTTCTAGGAACCTGTGATTGCCAGTGTCCCAACCCAATGAGTATGTCTCTGGAGAAACGCAATAGAAATAGGCACCATGCTAGGGTTGTGTTATCTTCTCTAATCTACCCACTTTTCTCACAGAGTAAGGCTGCAATGGTACTGCAGCAAAGAACCTGTACTGGCCTGGTAGGCAGCTCCCAGATTTACCTGTCGTATAAGTAATGCAATTATGTTTTTCCCTATGTTTATCATAGTTTGAGCTGACTTTTTTTTTTTTTTTGTGGAGAATTACTCCAAAGAGTCCCAACCTGAGTTTTCTTCTGGCCTGTTTGGCCGATGTGGTTTTTCATCTCTCTCCATTTTTCCTAGGTAGCAGGGATCAAAGGTGTATTCCTGGCGAACAAGAAGATAGAGGACCAAATAAAGACTTTCATCACCTACAACAAGGGCAGAGACTGGCGGTTGGTGCAGGCTCCGGACACTGATCTCCGAGGGGACCCAGTGCAGTGCCAGATGGTCAGTGGCAGGACTTTTCCAAAGTGCAATGGATAAGACCCTACAAGGGCTTCATCCCTGAGCCCCCAGCAAGGCAAAACACTTGCTGGAGTCAATGGGAATCCTGCCAGTGTATTGGCTTGAAGTCCTTCCCCCTTTTGACTCCTTTGCTTTAAGCTACTGAAGCTGGTTTGTATTTTCATACATGTTAAAACCGCAGGGAGGCTGTTCTGATCAGATCACTTGACCTCTTGAGTAATACATGCCAAAGCATTTCAGTTAGAAAGCTTGGGCATCCAGGAGGGAACTGCAAGAGATCTAACTCTGGATGAGAACATGTTTAAATGTGCTTTCTTGTTATTCATCACAGTGGTTCCTCCAGCCCTTAGGTGCCTGCATGCTGTTTCTTGTGAGACTGTTCATACCCCATCATTTACCACTGTCAGTGCTCGTGGAGTCCAGAGAGGGACATCCTTGGAAGGATGTCAGCATTGCTCACCAGCACTGAGGACTAAGCCAGGAGCTCACTTTTCCTCTCATCTTTGTTTTTACGTATTAATAATTCTGTTTTACCTTCTCTTCCCATCTGCAGCCCTTCTGTTCCTTGCACCTGCATTTGCAAATCTCAGAGAATCCATATACTTCTGGAAGTATTTCCAGCAAGGAAACTGCTCCAGGGCTATTGGTAGCTACAGGTAAGGACTTTGTTTGTATTTCTGCGCTGTTCAGCCTTGCCTTACCAAGATGCAGGGGTTAGCTGCTAAACAGTGGTTACAAAAAGCTATTCGGTGGTTGTGGATGCTAAAGGGGGTTGTTCGTGTTGGGGAACGGATTAGCGGTAAGAGGACAGGCAAGGCTGAAAGACTCTATATACATGCATTTTTTCACACAGCTCTGGATGTTTTTAGTTGGGTATCATCCTACCCATCTGGAGCCCTGCATATAGTTTCAGGAACCACCCTTCAAGGAAGATTTACACAACTTGGAAAGAGCACAGTGCAGAGCAGCAGAAATTATTAGAGAGCTAGAAAACATGGCTTATGTCGAGAGGTTGCAAGAACTGAGATTATTTAGCATGGAGTAGAGAAGCCTGAGTGGGGTTTGGGTGAGTCTTCAGATACCCCAAGAGTGATTATAAGGAGGATGGTGATAGACTATTTTCAATGTCCACTAGGGACAAATAGTAATGGTCCTAAATTAAGTTGGCTATTAGGAAGAAGTTTCTCACTCTGAAGGTGGTGAGCAAGGTTCTTTGGGTAGATGCAATATCTTTTATTAATAAATAGTTGGGAAAAAGTTCTTCTTTGCAAGCTTTCGGGCACAAACACCCTTCTTCAGGCATTGGGAGACTCTGCTGTTGTTCTGAGATCTCCCAAGTAGAAAAGGTATTGGAATAGACTGCCCCGAGGTTGTGAAACCTCCATCCTTAGGCATTTTAAAGAACAGCTTAGACGCACTGGGATAGTTTAGACAGGATCAGTCATGACTTAAGCAGGGGATGGAACTAGATAACCTCCCCCTAGCTCTCCAGGTCCCTCCCAGCTCTATTTTTCTATATCTCTGTGCAATATGAGACATATATGTGCATATCCCACCGTGGCATGTATATCCTTGTGTGAAATTGTAAATACACCCATCACACTGGGGTTAACCCATTGGCTTTAGAAGAATTAATTTAATTTACACCTGTGAGATGGAGAAGAGACACCAGACCACATGCTGGGCCCGGTTTTCAGCTGGTGCGTACAACTTACATGACCTAAGCTTCAGGCACAATGTAGCTATGGGCATGAACAGATCTGTAGTCTGGTTTCCAGAGGTTTTCTATAAATGACACTAGACTCAGGAATGGACAGATGTGCAGCTAATCTGGGGTAACTTGCACAGTCCCACGCCTTGCCACGAGGTGTGGTAATGTCCTGTTTGCCTTAAGGAAATGGCTGCGGAAATAAAAATGAAACTGGTGTCGTTTCCACTGCTTGATACTTTCAGAAGTAACTCTCCTGTAAGATTGGGCAAGGGGTTTATTTGGGGGTTTTTTCTGTCATGTGTCTGCTAGTTTCTTACACTAATGAAATGCGAGTTACCCCTGTATGAACACTTGTGAAGTTAGGTATTTCCAGTGTCCTCCTTGTCTCTGCATAGAGTTCATAAACCGCTCTGCCCCTTGGTACTGGAGAGCACGTCAACAACAGGGCCGTTGCTGTGGTGTTGTTCTGTGAAGCCATGTTTTGGCAGATCACAGCGCTTTAATGACAGGCTGTTGTAATTCTGAATGCCAGCAATAGCTGACCCATGGTAATTAATCTGACAACCATCTCAGCCCCTTTTTGTTTTCCCTTGCTTGCTCACAGTAGGCAGCTTAATCAGGACGGACATAACAACCCAACCCTACTCAAAGCTTCCACAATGCTTAGCTCTGTGGGAGCTGTTTGGGGGTAACAAAGTGCTTTCTGAATGGCTTTCGATGTGGATGGCTTGCAAATGTAATAGGCAAGCTGCTAGGCTGTTTCACAGAGATGCTAGCATGGTAGCATGCTCTCCGGAGCAGACCCCTCACTCCTGGTGTCCCACATGTACTCACCTGTGTGGTCTTGTTGACTGCGATGGGACTACAGAGATGAGTGAATAAAAGTGGGCAGCACCTGGATTATGCTATTATGCAATACACTGTCTTCTTGGTCATCCAAACCCTCAACTTTCTGACAGATAACTTTGTTTTAGTAACTTGGAATGGTTGGTATATTGTAACCATCTGTTCTCTTTCCACCTCTGCTGTATTTCATATTTTAAGTTTGGGATGGCTTTGCATTATGCCTCCGGTGCTAGCATGCATCATCCCTACAAGATGCTGTGGTTTCGCTTCTCCTGACAAATTCAGACATCCAGGTGGTTTTTCCATGGGTACTTTCCAAAGGGGTTTGGATAACTGGGGCTGTCCTGTAGCTTAAACATGTCTTAAGTTAACTCTAGTCCTTTTAGGCTATTACCCACCAGTTTTGTGCTCTTCATGTTAGTTGCAGCTTGAAGTTTTCCCATTTTAGTGTGGGGTTGGTATGAATTTCCACTGAGATGTGGCAGTATGCAGAGCTCTGTTTTGCTGCTGGTGTTTTTATTCTGACCTCTGTGTGTGAAGTGGAGAAGGGATATGAATGAGTAAATGCAGTATTGGAAAAATATGAGTTCTTTGGGACTGGCTGAGCACAGGTATGTGTTTCCTAGATAGGATATGGGATCCTCTCCATTGGAAGTTAAGTTTGGGACCGACAAACATGAGTCTGGGTTGGTTTAGAGAGGGATGGGTCTGCCTTGAGCAGGCAGTTGGACTAGATGTCATCTCCAGAGGGTCCTTTCAGTTCTGTGATTTTATTGTACTTGTATACTAGTTTAAATGCAGGTGGCACGGTCCTTTTATTTAGGTTCTGTTCAGTCAGCATGATTAACGGCTGGATTTGATGTTGATATACATACCCTACAGACAAATGCAGATGTTTGGTTTAAATCCATTTCTTCCAGTCATGTCCATTCCTATGCCCAGGGTATTGTCTGCATGGAGGGTGTCCCTAACTCTGCTTAGCCTACAGCCTTGTGATTAAGGCACTTTGGCAGGAAGCGGAAGATGCAAGTGAGAGGGGTCTAGAACCTAGGTTTTTTATTTCCTAAGTAGGTGCCCTACTCACTAGGCTCTTGGGCTAAAGGGTAGAGCGTTCCTCCTTGATATTAGATGTAGTTATTCTGCAGTTAACGTTTCAGTGAATAATGCAAAATTACACACCCTCCAAAGTGGGATAGATGTTAGTAGCCAGAGCAGATCCTTTGTACGTGTGCTGTTTAAGTGCTACCTGCTCACGTAAAACTAAAGGGGATTGGGATTTGGGCTGCACTGTTAATGGCCCAACTTTTAGCAAGGAAAGTACCATCCAATTTCCAACTCGATGATCCAGGTCAAACAGATCTGGGTTGAACACCCAGGCTCCCCTGTGCTTGTCCAAGCTGACCTTCACTGCTGACAGACCACCTGTTGCTAGAGAGAGCATATGCAAAATCAGTGATCACAGTCACTTTTATTTTGAATTACTGAATTTTTTTAAAGGAAGCATGTAAGGTGCCAGAGGCCATAAGACAATGCGAGCATTTTTACACACACTGTGGGACATGGCACTGGGCGCTTTAATTAGCAAGCCATGCAAATTAAAAGCACCCACTTGTCATGTGTATCAGAGTCCCCATGCGTCCCCATGCTGAAAAAATGGCGATGGGGCATTTTGAACTAAAGCTCATTGAACACGTTTTATTTCAAAGCGCCCTGCTGCTATTTTTTCAGCGTGGAGACGCGCCGGGATGCTGATACACATGATGCGGCAGGCTGCCAGAGCGCATCAGTTTCCATGCTCCAGCAGACTCGATTAATCAAGTCTGTTCCAATGAGCTGGGTTTCTAGCATGTCGGAGCCGGTTCCACACACATGTATAGGAGCCCTGAGATTTTGGGCAATGGTCTGGAGTGCTAGACAATGAGATCCTTTTCCATCTGTCATTGCTTCAGGAAAAAACTTCCCTCTTACAATAATTAACCTTTAAAAGGTTTATTTGTTATTTCTCTGTTCTTGCCTTGTGCAAAAAAAGTGGCTAACCTGGTGGGGATTGATGTATCTGTTTCTGGTCCACTGGTCTTGTAGCAGCCCATCAGTGCAGACAAATGATTCATCACAATCTTACTCTCAGAGACACTGTCTGGAAATGCACCACCCCTCCACTAGCTTCACTTCTAGGACGCTGGCAGGAGGTCCAGTCTAGATCTAAGTTCACGGGAAACAGCATCTTGTTCCACTCCTGGATGGACCAAATTCTGTAAAGGTCATTTTGGGGGCCTTTCAGTTAAGTTTAGTGTGGGTTGTGAATCAAATGAGACTGCGGGGCAGAAGGGAGATGGTATTAGTGAAATAGCTACAGAAAGGAAACCAACTGGAAGCAGTAGAAATACAGTGCCAACATTTGCATACTCTCCCATACTGTTGCTGCCAGCCACAAAATCCTCACTGGACAGCTGGCTTCCAAATGTTGAAGTTTAGGTATGAAAATATACATAACCAACTTCATTCTCTGTAACATTTCCCATGAACACAGCATTTGGAAGTCATGCATGATGCCATAAACCAAATTCTAATTCTTCAGGGTAAAAAAGAATATCTCCTGAAGGACAGGTCATCCCACAACTGCTTTTTGTAGGATTCTTGGTAGCTTCTTCAATAGCAGATGACACTGGCTGTGGTTGACTATGACAGGACACCGGACCAGGTGGACCAAAGTTCTGCAGAAGTTTGACGTTAGCACGGATTGCAAAGCCTTTCTTGTATCACCTCGCAATTTTGCTCTTGAGGTTTTATTTTTGGAAACAGGAGTGTCACAACAACTTGCCTTGCCATATTCTGTGATGCTGATGGGAACGTGTCAAGATACATCTGGGCTCTAATTCCTCATTTTCCCGTATTAAATGTCAGGAGCTCAATTAACATTTTCATTAGTGTGTTTTTATTGTGCTCCTGTGAAGTTACAGATGTGTAGGAGTGAATCTTCTCTTTTTGCTATTTTTAAAGAAAAAATATTAGCTCTTTTTTCATAATGCAGGGAAAATAAACCCTACTTTAAAAAATAATCTTAGCATTAGGGGTTGGGAACTGGATGGCTCAGTGTATAAGACTTCTGCTGTGCTGCTTTATGACTTAAGAACATAATGGGTATGTCTACACATGGTCATTTAATGTGGGTTAGCCCAATTTAAGCTACATTAGGGGCATGTGTGTACATGTACGCACCCTTAACTCAGCTTAAAAAATAGCAATTTTAGACTGTTAGCCTAAATTTGATACCTGCCCAAACCAAGTATCAAATTTTAGTGGGATTAGTTAATGTGGATTAACACGTGTAGATGCGTTACTCCACATTAGTGTAGGGAATTTAGTCCTGGCTCTGCCCAGCTACTAGGGGGCTGGCCAGACCCCAGGGTTTCAAATGCTGGGAGCTGGCTCTGGCTTCAGCATGGCTGCCAAGTGCTGGCAGCCATGTGTCTGGAGGCTGGAGCTCCCCCCGGTGGCCAGAGGGGTATATGCAAGTCTGAAGCAATCTGTGACTAAAGTTTGTCCCAAATCCCGCCACGTGTAGACACCTGCCAAAACCCATTTGCTCCGCATTAGTTTAATGCACATTACATTTAAGCTTGCTGAAATTCATGTGTAGACACACTCACTGGGTCAGACCATAGGTTCATCTTGCCCAGTATCGTGTGTCATGCACAGGCAGAGAGAGGATCCTGAAAAGGAGAGTGAATAGGGTCTGACCAGGGTTTTCCCCTATTCTTCTCCCACTTACAGCCAGCCCTAAAATTTAAGGTTCAAGAAGTGCTAATTCAGAGGCTGTACCACTAACTCCCATGCTCAATAGCTACTGATGCACCTTTCCTCCAAGAATTTGACCAGTCCTTTTCTGAATCAGTTAAATTGTCAGCCCCCACAACATCTCGTGGCAATGAGTCCCACGCTTTATGCGCTGTGTGAAAAAGAACTGTCAGTTGTTAGTTTTTAGTTCAGACCCAATTATTGCATTGGTGGTAGCTATTTGGAAGCTTGTTTGTAGCACGTATGAGAGGCTGGTGCCGCCATCTGCTTCCAAGGGGATGACTGTCCCCCCCACGAAACTTCCAGTTGTCATAGATAAGAAAATCCCATTTCTGTTTGGGCTTTTTTTGAGATCTTTTTGCTCTGAAACATTGCTCCACCTAAGCTGTGGGATGGTAGAACAGGAGATGTTAGATACTTTTAGCCCAATCTGAAATTGTTAGTCTCCAGGACTGTCAATTAGGCCCTTTCTAACAGCACTGAATTAACATAATTACAATTGTAGACAGGTAAAACCAGTTCATTATTTGCTAACATAAAAATGTGACCAGTTCCTCCTCAGCAAGAGCAGCCAGCAAGGCTTTGACACTTCTTCCTGCCTGGCTCAGAAAGTATTAACCAAGGAGTGTCAATAAACCCCTTCCCTCCCCCAACACCCTCAAGGTGAAGTGGGATAAATACACTGCGGTCCAAGAAATAAAACCTACAGCTCATTAACTAGCATTTGCAGTCTAGTGGGGCATTGTTCATTATTCATGATGTAGGAAAGGAATACCTATCAAGGCAAAATGTGAGTGTGCACATGTGTGTGTGATATAAATGAAAGAAATGGTTAAAGCTGAAGTGGTTTTGCTATGCTGGTATTGCTATAAAATCATGTAGATGCAACCGTTACAGCCGAACAGCGTATCCTTTGATATCAATATAGCTGTTATACCGGTTTCTTTATTCTGAACTCTGTTATATTGACTACCAGCTCATTTACTCCTGGATAATATTCTGCAAACGAGCTACACCCACAAGAAGTTCATACCAGAAACCATCAGACTTTTTACAAGAGGATACTTGTAATTTGAAACACTGTTTTTTTGAGGTTTCACCGTAAGTCATCAGTTTAGCCAGAAGTTGATTCTTTTTGCTAGTCCATGCACCACGAGTTCCCCGTGAGGCCATGCTGAGTGGTTTATAAATGGTCGGTAGATTGTGCTGCCCCCTGGAACCTTTTTTCATGTAAAATTTGGGGGCTTGGTGGCCCAGATGTAATTCTGAGGGTTGACACAATGGTCCACTAGTCCAAAAAGTGTAGGGACCACAGTGCTAGAGCCGCAGTGTCTGAGTTTAGGCCTGCAGTTGCATTCAGGATTATGAGAGAATCCTGCAGTGAAATCCCCATCTCATTTAAAATCAGTAAGATTTTGTCTCTGCCTTCACCCTTGATTTCACACCTGCTCAGGTTAATTGAAGACAGGATGGGTAAGTAGCTGGGATCACATTAACTTGCCTTAACCATTTTTCTTTAATTCTCTTAAATTTCCCATTTTGAAACATTGTAAATGTTGGGACAGTGCAGACATTCCTCCCACAAACTCATCAGTTGGTGTGTCCAGATTTTCATGAAAAAAACCCCAAGTGCAGTTGAATAGACCACAGATCCAGGCCCCAAATCAGCATATAGTGTGTATGCAGTTTTCTGAGCATGCCAGTCCCAATTCAGATAAATCCAGCTGTTGGTCATTCCCCCCGGTGTCCACACATTCTCAGCACCACTCACTATGAAAGCAAACTGCAGATGTGATGCTTTTCAGACCTTAGAATTAATTACTTTATTTTACTTTAGACTACTTTATTTTACTTTTTTACTTTTAATTAAATTAAATGTCTTTTTTTTTTTTTTACCTAATTTTTACTTTTTCATATATGACTTTATTTTACTTTAGAATACTTTAGAACTGTTTACCATGTTGATCTTTGCAGCATTTTCATATCTTTAACCTCTCAGCCTGGCCCTTATTGATTTCCTATGACCCTGGAAATAAGGTAGTAAAGATCATTGGTCAAACCTGTTACCCCTGATTTTTCTGAAAACACGATTCCCTTCCATCCACCCAAGAACTTACCAAATCCACTTGCGTTTCAGGGAACATCGGCTCCGAACTGTCATATGCTGATATCAGCATGTTTGTCTCTTCTGATGGAGGGAACTCATGGAGACAGGTACAGTCATGTATAGGGGAGGGAAACGGTACCTTTTGCAAATCCTGTCTTCCATTCCTTGGGCCTAAACTGGCTAATAACATTTACTCTGTACCTGACTCATTTCCAGATCTTCGAGGAAGAATACAATGTATGGTATCTTGACTGGGGCGGGGCGCTTGTGGCCATGAAGCACACTTCAATGCCCATCCGGCACTTGTGGTAAGGCTATTTCCCTGGCTTAGAGACCATTCTCTGGTGGGTGCTAACTTTGCAATGTCTAATACTTAAGTACTATTTTACTTTCTTCAGTAACCACAAAATCCTGATCCTGCAGATCCCAAAATGCCATGGTTTATCTCCTCTTCTTTTTTTTTTTTTTTGGACATCTTTCTATTTTCTATCAGGGAACCTTTGTGCTACAAGCTTCACATGCTCATAATAAGAGACTGACTCTGCTTTGGATAATTTAGAGCTTACATTTTTGCTAAAGCATCTAGCCGGTGCATTCCTATCCCATACGCATCCATATGCAGGATCTGGATCTAGATAAACAAGACTGGCAAAGTGTGGCAGAGAGGGCAAGGAGTCAGCATGGTAGAGTCGACTAGAAATATGAAGACACTTAATTGTTGCCAACCCATACAAGTTAACCCAAGTTAGGAAGCGGTACAAAGGGAGTTGATGTTGGCCAGTAGAACCAGGAGGGGAAGGTAGGCCTGTGAGTGTAGCGCTCTGCTGAAGGGACAGTCCTGTCTACACCGGGGGGGTCAGACTCGATGATCTATTGAGGTCCCTTCTGACCCTAACATCTATGAATCTATGTAACAGCAAAGAGCTCCATCTTACCACCACGGCAATGAGTACCACCCACCTACTCATGCTCCATATCTGTCAGCCCCAGAATTGAAGCAGTGAAGATGCCTTTGGGGTGCCCCGGCACCTCCCTTGAGACCTGGGTTTTTGGTGTGCTCACCAGCAGTGGGTTGGGGACGTCTGCTACGGGGGATCAGCTCTTACCGTACAGAAGTCTAGGAAGCCACAGCACTGGAGACGCTCCACCACCCCCTCCACTGATGGTTGGACTTTGTAGGGAGTTGAGCTGCAGAGCTGAACTTCACCACTGGCACTTGTGTCTAGAGAGGTGTCTGAATTAGCATTGCTGTCAGACTTAGCTCTCCGCTGAAGCAGAGGACCGCCTAATGGATTGACCTCTCCGCCTTAAAATGTTGACACAAAGGAAATTAAACAGAAATCGCCTTCCGAGCTGAGGGTCAGGCTCCTGTGGGAATGAGTCATCCTTCATCTTGATGCTGATAGGCACTTGTGTGTCCTCATGCAGTACATCCACTGAGGGAATAAGGCCTTAAATCGAAGAGAAAAAGAAAGTAATGATGTTTGATAGCCATAATGAGGTGCTAAGGTCCCCTCCACCTGAGTCATTATCACACACAGTCCTTCAGTTAAGGTACATTTAGGCAGAAGCCAAGGAATTCAAAACTCTGGCTCTGTCTTAATTCATTGCACCATGATGTTTCTAGTTTACAAAAATGACCATTGATAGCTCCCTCTTCATGTCAAAACGTCTGACTTCGTCACCATAACCAGTCAAATGACCCTATAATGATCGCAGCATAAGCCACCGTTAAAGGTTTAACCTTTTGCATTGAAGCGCATGTTTCTACAGCTTGAGTTAAAGGACTAATCACATTCATAGGCAGTTGTCCTTTATGCGAGTTAGCCACAGGAGATAGATGCAACACACACTTCATGAGTATATGCCATTCCAACCCGTAGAAAAGGCTGCACACGTATGGGTCATACCCCTTCTCTTTTTCTTTTGCAAGTTAAATAGTAGTATTCTGGATTTTTCTAAGATCTTCTGAGTGGAAGGGATGGTTCAGTGGTCTAAGCTTTCGACTGGGAGTCAAGAGTCTTTCACTCCGGGATTAGTGTTTGGGACCAGAAAATAAAATAAATGATCAGGCTCAGCAAGTGAACAGAAAATCTCCCCAGCAAGATGTGCAGTCCAATGCATTTGTCCTTGAGAAGGCAGCACTGTAGACCAATGGGTGAAGCATTGGGCTGGGATACCTGAGACCTGGATCCTAGTCCCAGCCTTTCTGCTGGATGACCATGGACCAGTCCCGTGTTTCAGCTTCCCCGGGGAAATGGAGATAATGACACTGATCTCCATTGGAAGCACTTGGAGAGTGTCAGATGAAAAGCATTATAGGTGAGCTAGACTGTGTTGTTATTCCAGGTGGTAAAGCCCAGTCCCAGGGAGACTTTCCCTGTCTTCAAGGCTATGGTTGCTATTGCCTTTTCAAGAAGCATGTATTTAAGACAAGGAAGAGCTGGAGTTAATCTCTGGTTCATCCATGCATGTGGTCAAAAGGGGCTACCTGTGCAGAGGTCCCTGTAGGACACAGGAGCATAGCAGCTGCATGTGCGCAATGCCAGGGAGAGGCCAGATTCTGCTAGTCCTCATTCAATATGAACACACTTTCCCTGGAGGGTAATGTATAAAAGCTTAATTCTTGACTGATGAATGTTAAAAGCCACAAATCCCCAAAACGTTTGGACCACCAGACTACTGTCAAATCTCAAAAGGACAGTCACGTGCCCTTATTATCAACCTTATTATCAACCTTTAGGTGAAAAACTAATTATTATCAACCATGTGCCCTTATTATCAACCTTTAGGTGAAAAACTATAACTGGAGTGGGTGGGGGTGCTTTCATCCTTCAGCCTTGAAGGACCAAATTTGGAAACAGCTTTTATAAGCCAATAGGCCTGAGCACCACATGTATGGAGTCCTGTGTCCAGTTTTGGGCCCCCATTACAGAAAGGATATGGGCAAATTGGAGAGAGTCGTGTGGAGGGCAATGAAAATGGTGAGGGGGCTGGGGGATGGCTTAAGAGGAGAGCCTGAGGGAAGTGGGCTTATTTAGTCTGCAGAAGAGAAGACTGAGGGGGATTGACTAGCAGCCTTCAACTCCCTGCACGGTGGTTGCAAAGAGGATGGAGCTGGGCTGTTCTCAGTGGGGGCAGATGACAGGACAAGGAGCAATGGGCTCAAGTTGCAGCCAAGGAAGTTGAGGTTGGATATTAGGAAAAACTCTCACCAGGAGGGTAGTAAAGCACTAGAACAGGCTACCCAGAGAGGTGGTGCAGTCTCCATCCTTGTAGGTTTTTAAGACCTGGGTAGACAAAGCCTTGGTTGGGATGATGTAGTTGGGGCTGGTCTTGCTCTGAGCATGGGGTTGGACTAGATGTGACCTCCTTAGGTCCCCTCCAACCCTCCTTTTCTATGATTTCTATGATTATACCTTGCAGACTGTTCCAAGCGCACCCGTGGAAGGTATTACAGCTGGCGATAAATGCTCAGTTGCTATGCAGGGTTCAGTGCTGGCCTATAATTATGAATGGACCATTTACATCATTGTCTCCTAGTCATTAGTTGTTCTGTTATTAGTGTACCCTTCTGCTTGAGCCAAGCTCTGAGATTCAGCAGCACCCTCCTCCATAATCTGTCCCATTGACTGGCCAAGTGAGGCTGCACTCTGTAAGTGAGAGGCTATTTATATCTGGATGTAGGTGGTGGATTGGATGCATGTCTGGGAGAGTATTTAAGTTGCACACACCTAGATGCACGCAGTGACTAACTGTAGGCGGGTAGACAACTGCCCTTCTCCTGCCTTGGAGAATTTCCTCTCGAGCATTTCCTTGTTTCATTTAGCCTGATACAACTGCATGTGCCTGACTGAACACCCAGCCCTCTCTCCTCGATAAATAATTATTTAGAGTCATTGTTGCTGTCAACTCTAACAGGTCTCTCCCATTTTACCTGTAGGGACTTTGGGATTTGCATCATATTACTTCACTAGGTGGCTGCTGTATAGGAAAGGCTGCCTAGATTAAAGAGTATATATACCTATTTATTCTCAGGCAGAGACATTGTACAATAAGTTTCATCCTGGAGAAAAGAGGGGTTGATAATTGAAAAGCGGAGGGAACTTGAGCTAAGCTAATGAAGCATGCTGCTCCCCAGAAATTGAAATGCTAGTTAGGTAGATAAGCAGGGAGGCAGAACAGCATACAAATGCATAGATGTGTGTGGGGAGATACATATATTTAAATAAATAGATTTTAGGAGGATAAGCTCTTTGCCTGTGACTCTCCTATGGAAATCTGTCCTTGGTCCGCAGTGCTTTTTCCTGCAGCGGCTGCCATGCCGTGCGTTGGTGGTATTGAGGTGAAGGTCTCAGTAATGGCTCTTATGGGAGAAAACCTGGCCCTCCCTCAGTGTTAGCACAGAGCTCTGATTTTCCTGGGACCAAGGGGTTTTGTTCACAAGGGGGATCAAGTTTAGCACATGGCGAGGCCCAGCACCATTGGTATATCTAAGAATCATAGAAAATGAAGGTGTGAAGGGACCTCAGGAGGTCACATCTAGTTCAACCCCCTGCTCAACCAGGGCCAGCCCCAACTAAATTTTCCATGGACCTTATCCACACCCCATTGGAATGAATGGAGGGGCCTTATGTGTGGCTGCGGCTGTTGGGGCCAGACATTTGGGAAGTGCTGAGCCACCACAGCCTTGGCTTTCCAGGTGCAACCCAAGTGGAATCCGCCACTGCCCGGTCATCGCACGATGTGTCATTCCACGCGCACAATAATTAACAAAGTCTCCTGCCACTGCATGGTGGACGAGGGGAGGATTGTATTCATGTAGGATCTAGTGCCATCTTAAGGCAGGGGACCATAGGACTCGGGGGCCAAGGCCCCCGAATGCATCAGCAAGTGCAAGAGCAAGCCACATGTGATGTGAGCCCCTCCACCATAGGGTGCAGACACTCAGGACTGAAGAATGAAGGGGAAAATAAAACCCGAACATACCAACATGCAAAGTACCTGAAGCACTGAGGCAGACAGGGTTCTTTGGGTAGAAATGGTATCTTTTATTAGACCAACTAAATCGTTGGAAAGATTGTTCTTTGCAAGCTTTCCGGTACAAACACCCTTCTTTAGGCAGAGGGAGAATCAGCAGTTGTTTTGTGCTTTCCTGGATGGGATAGACGCCAGTATTGACGCACCGAGTGCACCCATGCATGTGCTCACGCACAGCCACCGTGGTAAGCATCATGGGATCAAATGGAAAGATGTAAGACATCCTCAATCGGCCTTATGTCCAGGGTCTCCCACATCCTTCCAATAACCCATCTAGCAGACCCAACTAGTCCAGCTTGCCCTAAGATATAAGAAGGGTTGCGGTTCCTTTTCCCTAAGGGAGAGGGAAACCAATTTCTCTGGAGGTTTGTAAATAGAATGGCCTATGCAGAACATTTTCCACCCCTCTTACCCCTCAAGTATCCTGCCACTTTCCAGAAACGGTGTGGCAGCTGCCAGTTTTTGTTGAGGATTGAACCTGAGGCCTCCAAGTTTAAGTTTCAATGGCTTAGGTTAAAAAGCCAGGCTCTGTAAATTGGGGGTGGCCAGCGGGCAGCATGTGCACCTCAAGTGTCACACAGCCTCTCTGCGTGGCATGCAGCAGATCAGGAAAGGAGCAGGGAAGATAGCAGCAGATATGGCAGGGAGCCAAAGGCAGAGCATCAGATCAGGCTTGGGAAGGGGTGTGGAGTAGCACTTGGGGAGGGTGCAGTGCTTACGTGGTGGCTTGCCTGCCCTAAAGTTTACTGCCACTGCTATGTATGACAGCTGTGATGGACCCGACATAAAGATGGATACGTTGAATGCACGGACCAGGGGAATACACCTGCTTTTTTGCAGAAGCACCGATGTCAAATGCTGCAGATGTAACCCTGCCAGAACTGGAGAGCAATCCTCACCCAAGCGTCCCTCCTTTGAAAATATGCTTGCTTTGAAGTGAGAAACATTTCCGGCCGATATGGGAAGAAATTGTTCCTCTTCCTTTTTTGCAGTAAGACCAGACCAGGGTTGTCTGTCAGCTTTCTCAGCCCAGGCACCTGCTCTAATTACAGAGAGCTCTGAAATGGTCCTGGTGAGAGGGGACCTAATCAAGTTGGACCCGAGAAATCTTTGCCTTCCCCTCTTTATTTTGCTTTGCAGGCAGAATTCTGGGAGGAATCAGGCGGAAACCATTGGAACAGGAATCCAGGAGCACAAAAAAACTTCCAAGTTTTCCAAAGTATTTCTAAAACAAACACGACTCCAGCCCAGGTCCACTGGCTCCTGGGAATTACTTCTAGGATACTGAGCCATCGTGTCTGAATGCGATTACCATCCACTGCCTGTTTCCTGATGTTAACTGGGCATAGTCCATCTCCCAGTGGACAGAGGTCAGATTCTGCTCTGTTCTTCCAGTGCAACCTTGCTGAAGTCGGCAGAGCTGCCTGGGGGTAGCTGAGAGCAGATTTCGGTTCAGTGTAGCACGCTTCACCTGCCACTCAGAAAGCACATAGTTAATAGTAATGAACTAAACCCCAGAGAGCCCCCTGAGGGGGAATAGCATTCAAGTCGGTGGTTTAGAGGAAGGGATGGGCGAAGTGAGTCACCACAGGCCCGAGGTGGATGCACTGTCCCCTGCTGCAAGCACTGGGCCACATCTGAAGCGATGCATTTTTCTCTGCTGCACTTAACTACCTCTCACCAAAGTGAGGATGGCAACTGTGAACCTGCCGTGCTTTAGGTGTTGCTGTTTGCATCTTAGCTCCAGTTTGAGTTAGGAAACATGGACATTTTTCGATTCTTAAGAACTGCATCAGGTGCTTGACCTCTTCATAGCACTCTGAGAGCATGGATTAATGAAGGGGTGATATCAAGGATTACCACCTCTTTCAAAATCCAGCTGCTGTCCCTCCTGAGCCTTCAAAGTTGTGTCATTGCCTGAGTAATGGTGCCAAAGGGTACCTATACACATGACACCATTACCATGTACATGTGATGAAAGTGTCACTTTGTATGGCTTAATGGCATTGCACTGTACACGTGCAAGAGTTTTGGGGATTTTAAATGAGTTTGCATTTTTGCAAACTAAACTACATCCTAATGTAGTTTAGTTTGCCACGATGCATCGCAACTATTAGTCAGCTCACCCCCTGGCTGCGGGAGAGGTGGGCAGGCTCTGCAGAAAAAAAGGGTCAGGCATCTCACTGCGTCTGCCTCCAGCAGGCACCTGAAGTGGCGAGGGGCTTGATCCTTTTGTTTTTTCTAATGGAGCCTGGCCCCCTCTCCTGCAGCCAGGGAATGAGCAGCCAACAGGCTGAGTGGTCCCTGAGCTGTGGGGAGCCCTGGTTCTTCCCTCCACGGTGGTGGCACCCCCTGGTGCTGCCTGGGCAGGCTACTAGTGGGCTGGGTGCTTCCCCAGCTCAGGGTCATGGAAGAGTTGGATCGGGTCGGGTGCTGCCTCTGAGCTGGGGCAGCATCCAGCCTACTAGTGGCCTGCCCATGTGGCCCCGGGGGGTGTCACTGCTGTGAAGGAAAGGAACAGGGCCCTCTGTAGCTCAGGGGCCGCTTGGCCCACTGGCAACTCACTCCCTGGCCACAGGCAGGCTCTGCAAAAAGAAAAAAAAAAAGGATTGGACCCCTCACCATAACAGTGATAGAAAAATAAAACCCCACTGTTTCAATTAAAAACCCACCGTTTCAATTTAGGGGGCATAGACGGCAGCCCTAAGGACTAAACCCCCGTCATGTGTACAAGCGCCCTTGGAAAGTGATCCCTTCCTACTTATCTCTCTTGTCTGCTTTTATCCCAGGGTGAGTTTCGATGAAGGGAGATCCTGGAGTAAATACAGCTTCACGTCAACCCCACTTTTCGTGGATGGGTCCCTGGTGGATCCCGGCATTGAGACACAGATAATGACGTAAGTATGGGCAGGTCACATGGGAGCTGTGCTGGGGTCAATCGTTGCATACTTGGGGGTACATCTAGCATGTTGGCCTTATTTGGATTGTAGTTTTCCCACCTGTGGATGTGTTGCTTGTTAAAGGCTAAATTGCCGTATGGCACTAACCAGGATTCTCTGTGGTAGAGCTGGTGTCTCTTTCAAGGTTTGTAAAGGTTTTGGTTGCCCGAATAACACTGTCTGTCGAATCAAAACACTGTCGAATCTGGTCTGTATGCTGTTGCACCAAGCTATGGTTGTGTGGCCCAGTGGAAAGTGGGGAAAAAAAATAACTAGAGGTCTGGGAAACATGAATTATGATGAAAGACTGAAAGAACTGGGATTCTGCAGTTTGGAGAAGAGAAACTGAGTTGGGGATTTGATAACAGTCTTCAAAGACATGTAGGGTAGTTATGGAGGATGGACGTAGATTCATCTCCGTGGCTGGAAGGGGAACAAAACAAGGAGCAATGTTTTTAAATAGCACCACAGGGAAATTTAGTTTGGAGATTAGAAAGAACTTGCTCACTACGAGGGTGCTCAAGCATTAGAACAGATTGCCCAGAGGGGTTGTGGGATTTCTATCCTGGATGTTTTTAAGAGCAGGCTAGACAACATTGGTCTAGGGTGGTTTAGTCAGAGATGATCCTGCCTTGATCAGGGGGGTTGGACTGATCTCCTGGGGATCTTTAACCCTATGATTTGTTGAATAGCTGCCCAAGTATGCACAGTGGCTTGCTTGTCTGCTCTTCCTCCAGCCTTGGTGTGACAGGATGCATAAGGAATCCGATGACAAGAAAGCAACCCAGTTAACTCCTTAGGAGCTAAATATTCCACATTTACTATAGGAAGTGGCTGTATAGTGCTGCTGCAGCAGTAGAGAAGTGACATGAATAAGCACCCTTCATTAGTCCTGGGAGGAGGGAGATGATGTTGTCATGGAAAAACTGTAGTGGAAAAAAGTTGGACACCTCCTATTGGTCTTGATGTTGAGATTGCTTATTTTGCAGTGGGTCTGATGCTGCCATCACTGGCTCATTTGTACGGTGACAGCAGCCAGTACTTGTTGATTTATATCAGTTGGAAGAGAGAAGGGAAATCATTCTACTTGGTCAGGTTTTTGGTTGCAGCCGTGTTGGTCAAAGGACATAGGCAGACAAGGTTCATTGAGTAGGTGTGATATCTTTTATTAGACCAAGTGAGCAGTTGGAAAAAAGTTCTTAGCAAGCTTTCGGATGCAATTACCCTTCCTCAGGCATGGGGAGGCTCTGCTGGTCTGAGACTCCAAGTAATGAGAGAAGCTAAAAGTGTGGCAGGATGTCAGTGAGAATGTAAATAGGTAGAATTAGAAAGGTAACATAGGGAAGGGAGGGGGGGAAAAGGCCAAAGGTGAGTAGGGGAGACACCAGAGAAAATCCCCACAAATCGCACACCATTAGTTATGAAATATCACCCTTCCCTGGAACCTGTACGGAAAATCCTCAAACAATTGCAACCCATACTAGAAGAAGACCCAATTCTTAAAGAGATCTTTCCAGAACCACCCAGCCTAGCCTTCAAGCAAGCACCAAACCTTGTTTACCTCATCACCAGAAGCAAACTTCTGTGACCTAAACCAGGGTTTCTGAAATGGTGAGACACAAAGGTCCTCTAGGTGGGACTTGGGTCGTGGCAGCGAAACTGGAAGTGCTATGGCGGGACTTCCGGTTTTGATTTTGCGCGCTTCAATCGGCTGCTGGGGGACATCCCCCTGCTCTTTGACTGGCCTCTCGGGGACACCCCCCACCACTGCTTATCCATCAGTGGGACTAGGATTTTTTTACCTTATGTAGGTGGCACATAAGCTGCAAAAGGTTGAGACCACTGACCTAAACCACACCTAATGGATCCAGACCATGCCAGGTCAAAAAATGCAAAAATTGCCAACACACCTCCACCACCCCCACAATAAACTACACTCCACTACAGAAACATCATCATTCCTGGATCCTACACCTGCACCGCCAGAACTGTAATATATCGCATCCAGTGCACCAAATACCCTGATGGAAAATATGTAGGAGAAACCAAACAACAACCATGCACCAGAATGAACGCACACCGAAAACCTATCAAAGACAAGAATCCCCAATGACCTGTGAAGGCACACTCCTCACAAGCCAATTGCTCCCTCTCCAATCTCTCAGTTCTAATCCTCAGAGGAAAACTACAAACCACCTTTCGTGGACAAGCCTACGAACTTCACTTCAGAAATCTACTGGATACAAAATATCATGGGCTCAATATAGACATTGGATTTACGGCACCTTACAACCAGCCTGACGTCTGATTCACCAGGTACCTGAGAGACCTGACGTCTGACATTTTTCTTTTCCCCCACCTTTTCTCCCATCCCCTCCCCTACTTGTCTGCCATTTGTCTTCCTAATTTCCAGCTATTTCCTTTTTCACAGACAGACTCTTTTCTACCTTGAATAACCTCCATTGTAGTGTCTCCCCTGCTCACCTTTGGCCTTTTCCCCTCCCTGCTTCCCCCCTCCCTCCCTTCCCTGCTTTACCTTTTGTTTTTCTGATTTCTTCCTATTTACATTCTCACTGACATCCTGCCACACCTTTAGCTTCTCTCATTCCTTGGAGTCTCAGACCAGCAGAGACTCCCAATGCCTGAAGAAGGATGACTGCACCCAAAAGCTTGCTAAGAACTTTTTTCCAACTACTCGGTTGGTCTAATAAAAGATACCGCATCTACTCAAAAAACCTTGCCTGTTCTAGTTGCTCATACTCTTGTATACTTGCTGTAGTTCATGAGTAGACAGGTGTACCTCACTGGTGGTGGTGCTATCGTGGATGGACCAAGCGTGGGCAGGGGTGCCACCAATGGTAAGTTTGGATTCAGAAAAAAAACGTTGCTTCAGACCTTTTCTAGTGATTTGATTTTATAGGACTTGGATTTGGGGATTAGCCTTGATGTCTCCTAGAGCAATAATATATTCTTCCAAGCCAGAGGATGGGTCTGAGTCTAACAGGCTAGCATGCTTATGGCAATAACTAATAATGTCACATGCATCCATCTTTGACCTTGTATGACCAGGTACCCATTTACAGCTGGGGTGACTGGGGGCAGCCCTCCGGTTGCTTCTGGAGCCAAAGCAGAAAACACCATACGCTCTCCATCACCTGGCCCTGGCTGCGTTCACCCTGCACAGATGAAATAACCCTTGGATAAAGGCCATCTATTTAATACAGATCAGTTTCTCACACAAAGAGCTGGAATCTGGCCAGAGGTAACAGGTCAAGAATTCCCAAGGAGCAGAGAGAGATCTCACAGCTGGCAGAAAGTCAGCGGAGCCAGCTCCTATGACAACCACACAGACATGCGTGGTGTGTCAGGACTGGGCAGCCTGAGACTTATCGAGGTGTAATCATGCCTATTCCCCTAACCACCCCAGTCTCGTGTGCCAAAAGGCTCTCAGGGAGGGGAAAATGCAGCCCAGGCTATGAAAAAGGGGCTGGCTTCCCATTGCACCAGAGCTGTTCCTCAGGGGTGAAGGCATGGGGAATTTGCTTGCACAAGTGGAATTCAGGGTTGGATGGTGGCAGATTTTGGTACCTGAGAGATGCAAAATGCTGTAACTGCTCCTTATTTAAATCAAGCATGGATACTTTTCTCTCATTCAAATAGGTATATGTACAAGAAAGTCCGATGGCCTATATCAGACAAGGTCCTTATAAGGGCCCCTTTTGGTCATAGTGTCTCTGAATCAGACTCTTGGAGATGGTATCTTAGGACATGTGTAGACAAAATGGGTTTGTCCACTGTGTGGAGTGGCATGGAGAGAGCATGTGTGTGTGTTGGTGTAACATGGCAGGCTGTCCCTTTAAAGAGGAACAGTCAGCCCTGTTAAGAGAGCTCAGCTATATGGGGCATTTGGCTACGGAAGAAGTGTGCCACTGGGAGCTTTACAAGCTCCCAAAGGAGAAAGCAAGGTGAAGGAAGAAGTAAGTTGTGAAGGGATCAGCTTGCTGCACAGAGAGGTCAGGTTGCTGCCCTGGGGCTAGAGGAGGAAGGGGCTCATCTCCTAGTGTCCAGGAGAGGACAGAGGATTGTGTTTTGTGTGCCTACTAAACCTGGCTTTGGAGAACTGGCTAAGGAGCTTAGAAGGGAGCACATGCTCCTGCAGAAGCCAGCAGGATAAATGACCCGCTCAGAGTTGGTTTTCCATCTACAAACGCTGCTTCAACGTTCACTGAAAAGAGCCATTCAAAAAATGCCACTGCCAAATACTTGGTTTTTTTCCATGAAACTGGTTTAAAGGGCATTTTTAGGGAGAGGACACACAGCGCTGACCAAGGAGCTAGATCCTGAGCTCTGCACAGTGGGCAGCTTATTCTCTCTATCTAATTTTCTTCAGAGATCCTGATACTCTAAACTTTCTATCCTAGTCAGCAGAGCATAATATAATCATTGTTATATTTTTGTGTAATGTTATTGATGTGTACTGCTTTCCACGCACAGTCAGAAGTACAGTGATAACATGAACACCCACACCCGGGTGCACAGGCACGGACATGTGTATGCTGCGTGGGCACACGCGCACACACAGCTTGCGTAAATCAGTACATTGATACCTCCATTGAAGCCAGTGGAGCTAAATCATTTTATGGCAGCTAAGGTTTTGGCCCATTTGCTTTGTAAATCCATGCAGTTCCCTTTGAGATGAAAAATGCTTTAGAAATCTGAGGTTATTGTTATTCATCCCTGTGGTATTTTGATGGAGAACGTAGGGGGCCAGTTTAGTGGATGTTCCCTGCCAACTATACAGAGAACTGACTTTTTTTTTTTTTAAAGAAAAATGTTTAAAAACCTTTTTTATTATTATTGAGGAATTTATAAAACTTTTTATCAGCACTTATAAAAGCTGTAAAAGATTTTCACACAGTCTTCACCAGAGATGCTTATAAAAATTCCTGCCCACCGGT